GTAAACTTGATTTTGGGCTAAGTTAATAATTGATGTTTGTTGTAATGGGCAAAACCCAAAATAATTAGGAGTGTTCTAGAGAGAAATGTTCTAGAAAGTTTCTAGAGTGTGAGACTTCTAGAGTCATTCTAGAGAATATTTAATAATAGAGTATTCTAGATAAGGAGAATTCTAGAGAACTCTCCACCATTTATTGTGGATGTGAGTAGTATAAATAGGTGTCGTTGTGCTCATTTGTAATCAAGCATCAAGCTAAGAAATCTTCAAGCAATAACATATAAGTTCTCTCTTCTTCCATCCTCTCTTCTAGTTAGCTAAAAGCTTTTTCTACTTACACAATTATCTTCATCACGTCCTAAAATACTTAGCCTCTACCTCTAATATTCCAACAGAAGTTGTTACATGTGATTATTAGAGTTAGCATGCGCAGGTGTTAGTTGTATATTCATAGGAAATTCATGTCAAAATTTTTGAAAATTTTTCTCTAAACTGTGTCTTTGTGAGCTGGCTAGCATTTTGACTATGCTTTTAGAACATCTTTGAAGTGTTTAGGCTTTTAGAACATCTAGTTGTTGAAAGGATGAAGGCATTAGTCACCCATTGAATTAATTCATAAATTTTCCATCCCGGCTGGAAAAGTCCTTTAGGAGAAGCCATTTTGAGCCTGACTGTTCTTTGTTCACCCAATTAATTGAGCTCCATAGCCAAATGGCCTCTGTTTTCTTACCTGTTAATATTTCTGACTTAGTCTTGATGTTTAGGGAATTAGGGGATTAATTTGTTAAGTTTAGGGAATTTGTGTAGGAGCCATTTTGGCACTGTTCCTATGCCCCAAACGGGGTAAGAGCAGTCACTTTTTAGGAACTTGATATTTTCGAGGATTGCATTGTAGGCATGGATTCACTTCTAAAATAAATGAACTTTATTTGCTACTTTTCCTTGGTGAGGCCGAGATTAGAATGGGGTAATGTCTAGTGAGAATCCGAAAGGTGAAAAATTAATATAGTTAGATCTCTTATCTTGCGAAAAAGAGAATGGGAGACCCGGTCAAAAAGCGTAAGTGTTCTGCATAATAAGATGAGACTTGGGGATCTTTCGGAAGAAATGGCGTTCTTGTGCCAACATGACAAGGAAAACTAAACATAATTAATGAACTTGGAGGCTATTGCAAATTAGCTTTAGTTCTCCGCGTACTTCAAGTATACGTCAAAGCACCAATGTGTTGCGGCGGTTTAGCTTAGTTGTACACCATGTCTACTCTTTGCATAGGTTTAGTAATTGTTCCTAAATTGTGGCCTACTGAGTTCCTTGATCCTAAGAATAGCCCTCAAGTTCCTAAATGCATTAAGTCTTTGTTAGAATATTTTCTTCTCTCAAAAGAAAAGGGCCGTTTATTACCATTCACCATTCACCATCACCTTCAGAAGTCCTTCTGATTAAATGCTAGTTTATTTGTGTATGCTGTCATTACTTTAAGGATGTTGTGAATAATTTTGTCAAATAGTTTAGCTTGAGTACAAAGATGTAGTTTAGGGAAGAATTTTTCTGGTTTAGATTGTTTGTTCTGTGAATATCCCTTTAACTACGTGTGCATGCTAACTGTTTTGATTCCGTGTGGTGATTATCGTAAGTCCCGTTGTTCGATTTGCTTGAGGACAAACACAAGCTTAAGTGTGGGGGAATCTGATAAGTTCGTATTACAACACGCATTTTGATGCGTGTTGGAGTCGGATTTTGATGGTTTTCCTAGCTTTAAGGTGTTGCAAGTCTCAATTTTAGCTCAAGTTGTAATTATCAGACGTTGGGTCGAGTTTTGTTGCATTTGGAGTTGAATTGAAGAAGATAGAGATCGGCATCGGCACTTAAAGAGGCAACCGAGAAGAGTTTGGAAGCGTTCGAGAAAGATTTGAAAGATTTGAAGGTCACCGAGGGATTCACGACAAAATTCTGATGAAGAAAGAGCATTTGGATCAATCTTACTTGTGTCCGGGAGCATTAGGAGCAAGAAACAGCAAGAAACAATCAAGGATAGGTTAGGCACGACCGTGTCTGGATCTAGACACGATCGTGCCTTAAGAAGAAAATCACGAGAAGCCACTGTCTGCCAGGCATGATCGTGTCTGGGGGAGGCACGATCGTGCCTCCATCCGAAACGCGCGATTGCTCCGGAGGCACGATCGGAGGCACGATCGTGCCCTGCGTTGTGCCTGGCCCCGTTTCTTTCCTAATTCAGCCCAATTTAGTTGTTTCCTATAATTACCACCTCCCCAACTCTAATGGGGGTGGAACTTTAGAGAGAGATTAAGGACGAGATTAGAGAGCTTTTTCAGCCAAGTTTTTCAATTCCTTAACATTCTTTGTAAATTCCTACTTTTTAATTAATGACAATTACTTCTACTCTTCCCAATTCTATTGATTCTTCAATTATGAGTCGAGAGTAGTTTTAATTAGGGATTTGGGATTGATGAAGGGGTTGATCACGATGTATGGCTAATTTCTTGATGGTTTAATTGCATGAATGTCGTTTAATTTGTGTTTGAACAATTTAACTGATATCTCTTGTAACCTAGAATGCGCGCTAGAATTACAAGTGATGGTAGAATAAATTAAGAGAGTTCTAGTTTATTCTAGGACACATTCACACACACTTAATCGTTCGCTAAGAGATTAGTAGCGATTAAGGGGCTGTAAGCTTGCTCGTCTTGGCAATAATTTAGGATCCTGTTGCATGAGAGATCTGCCTGGTCTCCTAAATCATTGTACTCTACGCCGCGAGAGCGGTAAGAATTTAGTATTGATTAGCTAGGCTCAATTAAATTAAATTCATGTAATTAGGCCTGATCAGCCAGAAATCTGATTACCCCGAAATCAATCCCTGTTCCCTTCGTTGTTAATTAGAGAGAACCCAATCTTTTATTTTATTCATTTAGTCGCATTCGTTTACTTTAAATTCAACCAATCAATCTCGCACGACGCATTTATTTTATTTTATTTATTTTTAATCGCTAAATTTAGTTAATCTTTAATTCCCTTTTTTACCGTCCCTGTGGAGACAATACTCATACTTACACCACTATATTACAATCTTTTAAAATGCGAAAAAATTCACATCAATGGACCATTTGTAAAAGTGTGTAGAAAACCCTTTTTGTTGCAAATTTTACAATGTTTTGGCCGTTTTGTTTTGTGTGCCGTTTGCTATCTCGTGAATCTGGCTCCGACCGAACAAAATTATTACTCCGTACGTGGTGTTTTCTAAATTTCAACACACCGAGTCAAGGAACCCTGTCTTAATTTAGCCACGTCAAACTCATTTCATCATTTCATGACTATTACCATTCGCGAAGGAGTCTGGACCGATAAGATATGCTTTTGGAAGGTTCACGCTTGTATCATCAGTTCCCATTGCTTATTTTACATCGGTTTGATTTAGAATCCGGTTAATACCATTTTGAACTGAATCCTATGTTGCTTAATAATCAAAATTACGTTCTAATTTCTTGGACATGCATAACTGTTTTACCTTTACCATCTAACTCTTTCTCGTACACAGAGCATATACTAATACTCCCTTCAATCCCAAATGAAATTCACACTTTCATTTTTGGGTATGTCCAAAATAAACTTCACACTCCTTCTTCCTTCCTTATTTGGCAAATTATCTATATCAAAACAGTACAAAACAATGTCAAACAGTGTCAAACAGTGTACTCTACAGTAAAGTCAAATTTATTTCCTTAATTTGTGTGAAATCAAAATGTAAATTTCATTTGGGATCGGAAGGAGTAGTAAATTTTGTCATTCTAGTTTTCAAATTAAATCCAACGTGTTTGTAAAAAAACTTTAGAACCATACATCAGAGCCCGGTTGGTTACCCTGTTTTTCGATTTATCAACATTATATCAATCATTTTTTCATCAAACACGTAAAAAGTAACTTTTTATTTCACGGGTTAAATTATTTAATAATCAAAATAAGTAAAATCGAATTTTACTTTTTCTGGATTGACCGAAATTCCTATAAGGGACAATGTTGATTATGTTTTCGTATAATATTTTCTTTATTTTATTAGTAAAATATATTGTAAATATAATTTTCAATGAATTAAAAGAATCGGTCAAACAATCTATTCACTTTATCTAGAACTTTATAAGTTTCGAAAAATTCAAGAAAATTCCGTGTTATTAAATGAGCTCCCAATCATTATTGTAATCTTCTCGTAAAATGACTTAAGTCTCATAATCTCATTGGACATTTTAGATTTGAAATATATGTAAAACAAAAAGGTAAAAATTGTATTGTTATGTTTTGTGCAAATATGATGATTTAAAAATGCAATAAAATATTTTCTCTCAATCTATCCTAGTAAGATAGTCTATGTTTGTGATTCTAAATCATTTTTACTTTATTCTTATTTTATCGATTCATTTTTTTTAATAATCATACCGGCTCCTCATATCCCACAGAGGGATATACTAATCTCTTTGAACGAAAATGTGACAAGGTTTTTAGTACGAATAGAAAGGAAAATTGACCAAATTCAAAATCCCACCGAGGGATATACTAATCTCTTTGAAAGAAAATGTGACAAGGTTTTTAGTACGAATAGAAAGGAAAATTGACCAAATTCAAAAGGAGGAAGAATATAAATACTCCATTACGACGAGTACAAATCATCAAATATTATGTATTCACCCTGTCCAAAAAAAATCTTCTCACTTACCATTTTTGGACAATTTATGTGATTAACGTTCATTTCACTTTTTTCTTACACAACCGCAATCATACATTTCCACTTTCTTAATTTTCGTGCCAAGTCAAAGTGAGAGGAATTTTATGGGCCGGAGGTAGTAGTTCGCAAGACTGAATGGAACAAATGTTTTAAAAAGTGAAGTACCTAAGATCAAAATTTAAAAATGAAGACGTTTCGCCTACAAAAATATCGAAAATAATAGGTTGCACTGGGTTATAATCCACCGTAACCTTAGTGTAGATTCACCCCCACATTGAACTGTGTTGGGGTATATAATTAGCATATAACATGTAATAAGAAGGTGCAAGATGGATTTGAATGATATATATTTGTCTAGAATTGTGCACAATTAATCAAACAAACATCTCCGTCTCGATCAGCAAGAGCCGTTGATCTACAAATTAAATGTTACACATACATATAGTAGTAATAATATTTAATTTAAATAAATAAAAACTAGCCTAGCCGATGGCCACCAATTATAATATAACTAATACGTAATTAATTAAGGTCTCAAAGGATTTGAGCGATGCTGATGATTCAATTCGTACCTATGATTAATTAACAGAACGGAGGGGCGAATTAATCACATTCCGGCAATACCCACCGGCGTTTGGTGGTGGTGATCTTCATCGTCTTGGTGGTGGTGGTGATCGGAAGCAGAGCTGTTCTTCTTGGTGGCGGAATTTTTGTTGTTATGCATCCAAACCTTAAAAACTTGTCTCTTGACACCAACCTCTGCACAGAAGGATTGCAGCTGGGAGTCATCTTCCCTGGGAATTCTCCACCCCAGCTTCTCCGCGAAATCCATCATTTTCTCCTTCTGTCCCGACGAGAACTTTGTCCGGAACCGCTTCTTCGCCACCGCGTACGGCGTCTGCGACTGGTACACGTTGAAGTTCATCTCCTCACTCGAGGAGTCGGTCGCCGTGCTCCCGTAGGCCGTCATTTTCACCGGCTGCGGGGCGGCGAGGGAGCTCGGCGGCGCTGCCGCCCACTGTGCACTCCGGTGGTGGTGCTGGTGCTGGTTGTGGTGGTGGTGGTTCAACGACGACGGAGATGTCATCATGGACGGGGGCAGCGCGGGCGGCGGCGGGAGCTGAAGCGGGTGCACAATCATGACCCCATCTCCGCTGCCGCGTTCTTTGCGGTGGAAGTTTCGGTGGCAATTGCAGGCGGCGCATTTCAAGGCTTCCAGCGTCCCCTCCTCGCCGCTGGGCATGAACTCGCCGCAGCCGTCCGTGACGTTCCCGCCGACGCTAGCGGCGTGGTTCTTGAGACATTCTCGGTACCTGCAGGCGGCTCCTCCGACCGCCGCGCTCATCGCCGTCAGCTTTGACTTATATCCTCCGCTTCCGTGCTGAAGATCTTGAGGCTGCGGCGGCGGTGTGTGATCTAACTCTTCAAGTGGATTGTAACCGGCAAGCGACCCTGACATTCTTATCTCCTTATCCTGATTTCCATCAATGCCACCATTATATTATTAGTAAGTACTCCGTATTATATTATTATTATAATTTTACACTATTTATCACTAAAACTTTATTATTTCATGGCCAAACATGATTAAAAAGTACAAACCCTAATCCGTGTCCGTACTATACAGTAAAACCAAAATAAAACATCTTTATTTCTTGTTCTTCAGAATAATAACTTAAAACCCATCATTTATAAGTAACATAAAATTATAATCAGGCTTAACATAATAATACAAGAAACGCATAACAGTTAACAGATCTCGCTAGGCTTAATTAACAGTAAAATAATACTGACTAAAACGAAACGCTTTGACCCGTCAACTGGAATAGCTAGCTTTCATAAATCTGAAAAGTTTTCTTGAAATTGAGAGAAAGATCTGGACTAGCTGGTCGGCTAGAAAAATAAATTGGTAAAAGAAAAGGAAAATGAAAGCGAGATGGAACAATTCATGGATAATAGCTAGGTAGGTATCAGCTGTAAAGGGGGAGAAAAGCCAAAAAGACAGGGCCCTAAATTAAGGAGAGCAACTATTTACCTTATAACAAGATAAGATGGATCAGATTTATGTAGAATTGATGATGATGACGATGATGGTGAGTAGTTAGACAGAATCGGTGGCCGGATTATCAGCAGGAGGAGGAGGAGGAGCGCGCCAACCACCGCCTTAATTAGCTACCCAGCATGATGATCTCATCTTCTACCGATCCGCCATTAATGTTAAGCTAAGCTAGGGTTTAATTTAGAGAATATTTTTTTTAAAAAAAAGAAAGATTTCAGGGAGAGTTATTATAAAAGAAATGGCAGCTTAGTGGGTTTGTCATAATAAGGCCGGGATCCAAGAGTAGAGAGATTATATAGATATATAGATGTCTTTAAAATCGAATCTAATCTGATTTAATAACAATAATAATGAGAAAAGTGAGGAAGAAGAATAAATTAAAGAAGATGATGATATATGGTGGGTGGGGGTTTACTTTTAAAAGAAAAATAAAAAAGAAAGAAAGAAATGTTTGAGAGAAAATAAAAAAAGGTGTATAGTAGCTAGTGTTTCAGTGCACCAAACAGGAGACAAGTTGGTTGCTTGGGATGGTATCCTATTTCCTGTTTCTCATATCTGGGGCTGGGCTGGCTGTGCTGCTCATCCAAGAGGTCGGATTTGGAACCATCCATATGATGTTAGACCGGGAATCAATTTATGTATGTGGGCTCCTGCTGGGTCGACCCGAATAACTCCATCCTTTATACCCACTATATTTATTTGATCAATCATTTAGTGCTACTTTGGTAATTGGGACTCGATTGTTTTAACAAACACTACAATTTAGAGCTACATTTTTATCACATACTCCGTATTTTTTCCATTTTATTAATGAATATATTTAAATAAAAAAACATAAATTAATAAATCAAGCTAAATCATCTATATGTTTTAATGAGAGGTTCGAAGTTATAGTAGTAGATCCAGTCAATTCAACTAATTAATGAGTGTTTCATAAATTTCAAAAGATTCAACAGTATCAAACGATCGATATCTTATGAAATTAGTAGCTTTTAATATATAATTAACTAATATAGAATTCAATCAATGGATAAGATATTGGGAAAATGGAGGGAATATGAATAAAAACAATGTCACCTAATAAACTAGAGGCACTCATGTTTTCCTCTAGATAGGAAAACGTAATTGCTATTGTGATAATTTGATATTATGTTCCGAATTTTGAATAGCGGACCGCTACGGTTGAAGCGGACGCTATATAGTAGTCGCATGTGGCTCCGCTATCGCTACGGGCCGCTATACCGGTGTGAGTGGGATTCATGACGAAAAACCCCTACATAACCGCAAAGGATCCGCTACGCCGATGCATCGGACCGCTTTTGGTCGCAACAGGCAACAACTTGCCATAACGGCACCGCACCACCATTGACGAAGCTTGGGTGTGGTCATTGGGCTGAAGCAGTACGGTTTTTGCGAGATATAGGACGACGAGTGCCTATCTCAACTCTGCAGCGGCCGCATTAGCTACTACCGCTAAGACTGATATCAAGGCCGTTTTTTTGGGCATTCAATAGGTTATCCAGAATAGAACCTCGAATATGTTGGTGTTTCCATATCAAAATGCCTTATCACAATATTGTGGTTCTAGCTTTAGGGTAGAAGATAGACCCTGGATTTGTGTATTTGACTTTGTAATTATTGTTATCGTAAACGATTAATTGTAACTATTATTATTAGTTGAAAGTAGTTGAGGTAGGATGCGCGGGCTAAATAAATGAATCACGAGATTACACGAGTGGTGTTCCGCTTAACTGATTAAGGTTGTCCGAAGCAATAATCATGTTTAGTAATAACTAACTAACTAACTAAAAGGCATTTGCCATAATCATATTTTTTTTAAAAAAAGGGTAATGAGAAAAGGGAGGGGAACAACCGACAAGGTCATGTTCAGTCCTCTCCCACGCCCTGCAAGCCAGCCCATGGGAGAGCATGGGCCCACCGGCATTTCTACATCTTCCTTCATTATTGCGCTTTTTCCTCTACTAATTTAACCCCCCCCCCCCCCCCCCCCTCTCTCTCTCTCTACTGTCATTACTTATTTCTGTAATTTCATTTCGTTGCCTCCTATCCTCTCCCCGTGTCTGTCAGTTCACCCCTCCATTTTTACGCAAACACTGATTCTGCCTGCCTGGAGATTTGACCCCGCCTTCCCCACTCTTTTTTTTATTCCCTTTCGCTAGCTAACTTCAAGTTTACCCTACCGTAACTGCTACACTTTCTTTTTTACCAAATCACTGATTACCACCGTAGCTGCAGGCTACAATTATTACGTGAATGAATCAATGAATGCGTGAAGGAAATATTGGAACGGGGAAACAAAATTCACATGCCCCCTCACCTCGCTTGTGGAACTGATTCGCACTCCATTTTTTTTGCTTAATCAATACAATCACTTATTACATCAGAATAGTAAATAAGAATAGTAAAAATTGTGTGGTTGAAGTTTGTACAGGGGAGAGAGAAATGAGTAGAAACACAAAATCGTTACTTTAATGGGAAAATGACAAAGTTTTTTGAGACAACCAAGAAAGGAAAGATGGCAAAGTCCAATTGGACGGAGGCAGTATAAGAAAAGTGAAAGTTCATTTAACAAGACTAAAAATGTTTGAAAATTTCAAAATATGACTGTCATGTTTTTTATTCCCAAAATAGGAATAATTACTGCCAAATGTAGAAAATACTGCCATGTTTGAAGTCTGGTACTGCCAAAACATGACAGTAATTAGTCTCATTAACAAGACTAAAAATGTTTGAAAATTTCAAAATATGACTGTCATGTTTTTTATTCCCAAAATATGAGTAATTACTGCCGAGTGTAGAAAATACTGCCATATTTGAAGTCTGGTACTACCAAAACATGACAGTAATTAGTCTGATTTTCAAGGAACGGAGAGAGTAATTTTTATATACACAAATTTTAATACCGGAGTAAGAAAATTTGATCTGATTATAAGCAGTGAAGTGTTAACTTTACCGTCGGTCAAGTTTAAAAACTGAACGAATTTTAAAGAATTTGTTTGTGTGCAATGGGTCATAATTTGGGCTGAGCACACAAACCATTTAACTACCTGGGCTTTAGCATTTTGAGTCGTTTGGTAACTCTTGTTCATCTTATCAACCTTATCAATAATTTTTATTAGATGCATCACTTTTGAATTCGATCAATGAATTGTGAATTAGTTAAAATGAGTAATATTGAAGTTATTTTTCTGACTGAATTAGTTGAAATTAATGAAAATAATCATTTTCCCTATTTTTCATATGGAGTGTAACGTTTCATTATTTTTTTAATAAAATATATTTGAAATATAACTTAATTATATATAAATCAATAGAATAGTCAATTCAGTTGCTATATCCACCATTTTATCAATTTCAATTGATTTAATCAAATGAGCGGATATCAGTGTGATGCTTATATTTATTGGGCTTTGACAAATTTATTTGAACCAAACTTCTATCTAACTTTTTCCATGTCATAAAACATTTTCAAATATTTCTTCCTCACTTCCCCAAATATCTATCACACAGGTTTAACTTTAATATTTTAAATCTAAGTCAAACTTAATCTAACTTGGCGGATAAAATAGTTCATTTTGGTCCAATTTCAATTAAGATCAAGTGAATAACTAACTATCATAAATGGATGATGGGTCTAACGGATGAAATCTACCACCATTAAGTGGTCCAAATTGAAATTAGTTTTTAATATCCACAATGTTACATTTATCTCAAATTTTGAATCAAAGAATATAATCCAGGGGCCCTCGGGGATGGGGTGTCATCCTTTTTTATATAAAATAGGGAGTAGTTCTTTTGATATTTCATGACAAAAGGACGTGAAATACTAATCCAGGTGACTTAAGATTCTAATTAGGGTTGTAAACGAATCGAATAAATTTGATTTGATTCGTGATTCGAATTCGAGTAAGTAGAATAAGAATACGAATACAAATCTATTTTTTGATTTGACTACTGTTGAGGGTAAATCCCGTAGATCCGAAAGTCCAACACGAACTTTGGATATATCAGGAATGGCCCAGAATCAAAGCGTATAAACAAAATATAAAAGCTGAACTCACTAATACTCGAAAGCCCACTTGTATTAATTAACCAGTCTGATTACAAGGAAATTCCCGATCGGTAGGTCGGAAACAATGCTTTAATACAAGAAATAAGAGCAATAATGCTATTCTAGAGCCTGAGTATTGAAAATGATAACCCTTACAATGACTTGAAACCTTCTATTTATACTAATGGAGAGCATGGGCTGCCCTATGCTGATTGGCCGTTGTTCCACCGACTTGGTCATCCATGCTTCCACTTGCTGATGTCACAGTCTGGCATTAATTGCACCTGGCCACTTGTTGTTTGGCCGTTGCCCGAACGGGATGTTGGGCTATGCTGAATATGCTGGCAAATTGGCCCAAGTATAATATATAGCCCGATCTCCGTTCGGTATGTTTTCTTACTGGGCCAACCCTTATTTGGGCCGAATCTCGTTCGGCATTAATTCTACCTTGATTTATCTTATCATAGAGTGATGGGCCCGTTGCTTGGGCCGGGTATCTTGGGCCTTCCTGATCCGGGTATTGGGCCTCTGGATCAATATCCCAACACAAGTCCCCCACTTCCGATGTCTCGAACAAGAGTGAGTGCATTAGGAAGTATGAATACCAATGTTGCAATCCGCCGAATGGCGATCGGGGTACAGAAGTAATCAGTTCCCCATGCTGTGATTTGACGGCTGCCGCTTCATTTCCCCATATTCATCATGGTAGCCGTCGTTTAGTCTTTTCATTAGACACGTGTTTTAGCTTAAATGCTCCTAGTGACGTGTCGCTCCCTGATTGGTTCTTGACACGGCGGTTTCAAGGCTATAAATTAGCCTTTAACTTCTCAATTCCGGGTTTCGATTCTGCAATTCTCTGCGCCTTGTTGATTCCCCTGCAATCTTCTCCCAGCTTCCATCGCTCAGGTAACTTCTCAAATCCGGATTCCTTATCTTCATTTCTGACTCGACCGAGATGAGCCCCAAACAGCATTCCTCTGATTCGGAGATGGCCTCCCATGGAGATGACCGTGACGCCGCTATTGTGGACGTCATCACAGTCCCGTTTGCCGGTGGTTCTACTGAAACGGCGACGAATACCAGGGCTGAGGCGGAGGACCTTCCTAGCACTTCTTCTTCCTCCAGTGAAGATTCCGACGACACCAAATCCGAGGATGAAATAGCCTCCATGGCGGCCGGACGTCCCAACGATTTCCCTCGACATACCCTTGACCTAAAATTGATTAGGGAGAGGCGGCAAAAACTGACCTCCCATAATAGGGCCGAAATTCCGGCCCTTATCCCTGACCCGGTGGATTTCCGTTTGCAAGCTGGGCTTCACCCAATGCGTCATAGGTCCGGAATGACCATAGTTCATTTTGACTCAATTAGGGCCGGCCTTAGGTTTCCGCTACACCCCTTTTACATTTTATTCTTCAATTTCTACGAAGTTGTACCGGCCCAAATTATGCCGAACTCCTATCGGGCAATGGCGGGTTTTATTTGCCGTTGTAAAGATGTCGGCGCCCGACCAACCCTAGAACTCTTCCACCAATTTTTCAAGGTAGCCCCCCAACAAACCCACGGCTATCTGGCCACTAGTGCCCGAACGGGACACATCCTGTTCAAGGGAAACCCAACTTCAATCAAAGGGTGGAAAGACCGGTTTTTCTTCGTGTCTGTCCCGGACGGCCTAATTCCCCGCAAATGGAATGCCTTCACCCGCAAGACTCCTGATCCTGTCCTTACTGAAGAAATTTACAAGGACATGCTTGCTGTGGAGAAAGATAAATGCATGGACATCATGAGTTATCTGACTCCCGATCGACTTGTTACAGCCGGGATAGGTACTGCCCGTTCTCTTGGGTTTACTTGTTTTGAGAAACCAAGTGCCATGGTCCGGGCGGTCCTTCCCGTGCGAGAAACGTTCTTTTGTTCTTTTTTCTAGTTCCTCACATGCTAAGGCCGCTCGATACTAACATTGCCCTTTGTCTTTTTTCAGCACCAAACCCAGATCTACCTATGGATGATAACAGAGTTATTGCAGCCGGTGGGGCCGGTAAACGGAAAAAGGCCAGGAAGAACCCCCAACCTACTCCCTCCATTGTTCCTGCTCGGGATGCTGCCTCTTTTCAACCGCTTCCAGAGCCACAACCGATACAGCAGGTCCATCAGGACCAATTCGATGCCATGCTGGTCGACGATCGGTTCGGCTCTGATCAACTGCATCAGTTCTCCCAGCACTTCGACTCCGTTCAGGGGGAACCCTCGAATGCAGGTGAGACCCATACCGACCATATCACTGGTCAGGTCGAGTGGATCTCCTTATCTGATCCTGTTCACGAGGTATTAGAAAGGGCTGGTTCTACCACGAGCCAGATCTGGTCGACCTCCTCTTGGTTCAACAATTTTTCCCTTCCTCAGTTGCCGGTCGAGCAATCTGAAGAATGTCTGGCCTTGACCGCTCTGAAGGTACATTATCTTTTGCGCTCTGTTTTCATTTTATTCTCTGTAATCAGTACTAACTCTCGAACGGTGCTTTGTAGATGGGTTTGTACACCCTGCAAATGCGGGAAGCCCGTCTGGCCAAGGAACGGGAACTGATTGTTGCTCAATCTTCTGCTAAGCAAAACGCTGCTGCTGCCATCACCTCTCTGGAGGCCGAACGGAAGGCCTTTGTGGAGGAGAAACAGAGGCTGGATGCTGAGCTCGGTACCCTTCGGGTCCAACTTGCAGCTTCCCAGGCAAAGGTTCTTGCTGCCGAGGCCGCACAGGTCAAGTTTGAGGAAATGCCCTCCAGCATCCCGGATGGCCCCTACGAAGTGAATGTAGATCTGTCCGCCGTCCGGGAAACATTTAAATCCTCTGATGAATTCTCCATCATCAAGTATGATCACGCAAGGACCCAAATCCCGTTCGCCTTTGGAGCGTACTTGAAGGGTTTCCCTAAAGGTGCTGATCAGCTCTCGGTAGGGGTGGCTCTGTTGGACAAGGATCCTGAGGCCAAAACATGGAACGACTCCATTGTTACAGATCTTTATGGCAAGATCAGACAGGTCCTGATGCGTCCCTTCGTTGCTCAGCTTCAAAACAATCTGGGGAGGCCGGTTCAGGCTTCTGATCTTCCCAAGGATGACATTATACAAGCTCAATTCGAGAAATTTCTGCGAGCTCAGCAACGGGAAGCCGATCGGGCTGCTGGGAGAGAGCCTGAACCCCCGTCTGATGACGATGAAGACGAGGATGAAGAGGGAGAGGAAATGGCCCCTGGCCAATAATCCATATGTACTTTTTGATTACTCGTTGTAATTTTCTTTTCTCTAAGTAGCTTGTACTTCCCGGTCAGTAGAACCGATGAATATATATCCCTTTTTTGCATGAAGCTTTGTGTACTGTCTTTTCTGCATTTATTGCATGATTTACTCGCCATTCGGGATTCGGCCCGTTTTGTAGGACTTAACCAATTTCCTGACTTTATTTCTTGCTCAAATACTCCTAATGCCGTTGATCGCCGTTCGGGCATTAGAAGGTTCTGATAATTTATTAAGGAAAAAACCCCTTCTCTCTGGGACTCAGCCGTTCGGGCTTCAGATCATTTTTTAGGACGTAGCACATTCTGGCTTTAGATAATCTTTTACAACGTTGATAGCCGGTCGAGCTTCAGATCAATTCTTAGGACAGCTGTTTTCTTGGTTTTCTTTGCACCTGGGCTTCTTCGTAAGTTGGTAGCCGTTCGGGTTTCAGATCAATTTTTAGGACTTAGCCGTTTGATTTCAGATAACCTTTTACGACGTTGATAGCCGGTCGGGCTTCAGGTCACTTTTTAGGACTTAGCTGTTTGATTTCAGATAACCTTTTACGACGTTGATAGCCGGTCAGGCTTCAGGTCAATTTTTAGGACTTAGCAGTTTTTCTAAACAGCAAGTCCCTGTGATCTTTGCTAATCCTCTGCAAGCCCGTACGTCATTCGGTAATCGATGATCTAAATAGATTTTAGCCATTTCCCCGTTATCTTTACTGTTCCTCTGTAAGCCCGTTCGGGGTACGTGCACAAAACGAATCATAAATGTCCCAGATTAATCGTAACCACCCAATGCCACGTGTTGCTCATGGATTAGGGATTTGTGCGGCACTTTCCCTATTTATAGAGAGGTGCTTCCCCTAATTTCTTCTGCTGTTTTCTCACTTTTCTTTCGAGCTTTCTCTCTCTAGAATTCCCAGAATTCTCTAGCGTACTTTCAAGCCTTCTCTCTCTAGAATTCCCAGAGTTTCTTCAGTGTTTTTATGTATTACCCCTCTAGCTCAGAATCTGAAGAGATGCCTTTGATTCGCACAAGCAAGACATCCGCTGGTAACAAAGCCGAAGGCTCTTCTTCCCAAACACCTAAACCCGCCAATCCTCAGGCCGGCAAACATACCGAACAACCACAAGATGATGGATGTCTATCAGGAGATGACGTCCAGGTCTATAACAAGGGGATGCCCGAGCGGCCACCCCGCATTCCCCTACACTTCACTCGCATACGCAAACAAAAACAACGTCTTCCAGAAGATGTCGAACGACAACTTCGCCAGTTGTTGCCCCCACCAAGGGAATATTATGCTGGATTCATTCGGCACCCGATGAGGCACCAACCGGGGTACGTGCTAGTGCACCTTGACGCTCTGACTGCTGGGCTTCGCTTCCCTCTCCATTCATTCATCGTGGAGTTCTTACGCCGGGTTTCTGTACTACCCGCTCAGTTCGTGCTCAGCACTTACCGCATTCTGACAGGCTTCATTATTCAATGCCATGAGTTGAGGATTACTCCGAGCGTCGACCTGTTCCTTCATCATTACTGCTATCAGCCTTACTGGACGACCGGGTACCTGAAGCTGGTAGCTCGCTCTGATCGTCAGTTGTTCACAGAGAATCTTACCACGCCGGCTGACTGGGAGGAGCATTTCTTGTTCGTTCGGGTAGGTGATTCTCTGCCATTCCCGGATAGGTGGAACGCATACCCTGTTCGGGATTCTCAGCCCAGGGTGGACGCCGTTCTACGCTCCCAAGCGGAGTCTTTGCGGATGGGAGGAACCCGAAGTCTCCGGAGTTTTGTCACTACTTCAAGCATGTTATCTGTCGGAATTGGTAAGCGTAGTAGGGTTTTAACCCGATCATCCTTCATTCTCTCAATTCAGCTTCTTATCTCTTATTCATCTTTTTTGCAGGTGTCATATCCCCCATACCCTTCCGGCGTTCTATCTCTTCTGCTACCCTGACGGCTTCTTCTGGTAAAGGCAAGGAGAAGATGATAGCCGATCGTGCCTCTGCGGAGCAAATCCGAAAGAAGCGCAAGGGGAATGATGGTGACCAATTGATCCCGATCGACCACGTGGTTGATTTGACCGGGCCGGAGGTTGAACCCAAAAGATCGGTGCCTGCCAAAACATCAACTCCGGCTCTTACTGACGCACCGATCGATGATCGGATGTTTGTTGAATTTTCAAACATGGGGCCCAGATCAGAAGGGAGGTATCTGTTCGGGCTGATGTCATCTTCTATGTGGTGTCATACTGCGATCAAGGTTCCCCCGAGCTTCACCAACTTGACCCACTGATCGGATCTTTTCGAAGCAGGTCACCAGGAAGCACTCAAGGTACACCTGATTCCGATCCATGCCTTTCTATTCTTCATGTTTTACCTTATCTGACTTTCATTGTAATCTTGTTTTCAGGCCGGTGTATACTATCACAAGGCCTTTTTTTGCAGCCGAGAAAGAAATGAAGTTCCTGGCCAGCGACCGAGATGACAGCCAGGTCCTTCTTTCTGCCGCTCGGAAGTTAGTGACCGATCTCCAAGAGCAGGCCAAGGAGGGTGAGAAGGCCAAAGCTGCTCTGGCTGAGATGCAGGAGATATCCCGTCGTCGCGACCGGGAGATTAAAGAACTCCGGGCCAAGGTGCGAGCTGCTGAATCTGCTGAGATCAAATTTGATAAAGCTGTTGGTGACCATCTGCCCGAACCCTACACGGTCAACACTTCCCAGATTTCCCATCAATCGATAGTGGATTTTCAATGGGGCAAGGGGCTGAACGTCGCTCTGGAAAACACGGGTCGGCAGTTTCTGGGTCCTCACCTTGGCCAATTCTTTCGTGAAAGCGAAGATCCTATCAAGGCAGGGATTGATCTCCTGGATAGCACCCCGGAAGGGAAATATTTCTTGGATGACCTGACCGAGAAAACGGTGAAGCAAAGTCAGGACCTGCTTCTGGATAGGAACCTTGACTTGATCCTGGAGCATTTCCCCAAGCCGTTTGACCCCGACGAATTAGGCTTTGACGACTTGTTCGGGAATACATATGATCGCATTATGGAGAAAAGGTCCAAAGCAGCGCCTGGTGATGCAGTGCAGGCAGGGAGCTCTCAACCTCCATCCTCCCCGAACGGCAATCCTCCAGTAGCATAGCCTTACTGTAATTTTTGCTTCTTTGTTCTTCTTGTATATTCCGGCTAGTAATGCCGAAGAATAAACCGGACTTCTTTCTTTATATGTTGTCTTTTTTCTATTCTTCCTTTGATTTTGTGTTCACAATCCTTTCTTTGTGGCCGAACCTCACTCGGCTCATGTATCTTTATGTCTGACACCTTTCCCGAGCCCGTTTTGATCCCTTTTCCGTTCGTGACGCACGGGTTCAAAACTCTTAGCTGAGGTGAATTCCTCCAAGCCGTTTTGATCGTGACCACAGGGTCAAACTCTCAGCTGGGACAGGGGCTCCCTCCAAACCGTTAACCCGTTCGTCATTCGGTCATCCGGAATGATCCCATGTGTTAACAAGCTGAGGTGAGGCTATCTCTTCACAATTGTTCTGACACCTTTCCCGAGCCCGTTTTGATCCCTTTTCCGTTTGTGACGCACGGGTTCAAAACTCTTAGCTGAGGTGAATTCCTCCAAGCCGTTTTGATCGTGACCACAGGGTCAAACTCTCAGCTGGGACAGGGGCTCCCTCCAAACTGTTAACCCATTCGTCATTCGGTCATCCAGAATGATTCCACACGTTAACAAGCTGAGGTGAGACTATCTCCCTTCCAAACCCATAATTCCGATGCATTCCGAACTATTCTCTCTGGCTCGTATCATCCATATTAGGGGTCTGAGGTAACCCTTTTCGAACTGTAAGCAAGATCACCGAATTTGGGTCATTCCTTACTTATAGCTAAAAGTGCGACTCGCTTCCGAATCAAGTTCATGACTGAGGCGAGCTTTTTCAAAACCATAGTTCCGATTCCCCGGGCGACAATCCGTACCTTATCCGAACGTCGCTCGGTTAATCCATATCTTACAGTCTTGACACCATCTCCAAGCCGTTTTGATCCCTTTGCCCGTACGTAATTACAGGGTCGACTTTGGCTAAGTTGACGACTCAGCTCCCTCCAAACTGTTAACCCGTTCGTCATTCGGTCATCCAGAATGATTCCACGTGTTAACAAGCTGAGGTGAGAATCACTGTCCTCGAGCTCCAGGCCATTTTGATCCCTTCATCAATGCGTAATTACAGGGTCAAAACTCTTGCTGAAATAATGGCTCCCTCCAAACTGATAATATGTTCATCATTCGGTTTTCCAGAATCGATTCTCATATTAACCGCTGAGGTGAGACTATCTGAGCGTCAAACTCCAAGCCGTTGGCTGAGAATGACTTTCCTTCCATGTTGTTAACTCGTTCGTCATTCGGTCATCCGGAATGATCGAGTTAACCACGGGCACCGATTTTCTGAGCCTCAATTCTTCAAGCCGTTTTTGATCCCTTTATTCCTTCATAAATCTAGGGTCAAAAACTCCCTTAACTGAGAATTGATTTTCCTTCCATGCTGTTAACCCGTTCCTCATTCGGTCATCCAGAATGATCGTGTTAACCACGGGCACCGATTTTCTGAGCCTCAATTCTTCAAGCCGTTTTTGATCCCTTTATTCCTTCGTAAATCTAGGGTCAAAAACTCCCTTAGCTGAGAATTGATTTTCCTTCCATGTTGTTAACCCGTTCCTCATTCGATCATCCAGAATGATCGTGTTAATCATGGGCTGTGTTTGTGGAAGTTATGTCTCCCTCTCTATACATTTTTTTAGAGGTGGCAACAGCCGTTTTTACTGAAAAAATTTCCTTAGGTGTTCCACATTCCAAGTACCTGCCGGTCGGCCTTCGGTATTTTGTAGGCCAAACGTTCCTGAAGCATACTTCTTACATATTTGGTAAGGGCCTTCCCAATTTTGTGCCATTTTTCCACCTTCGAGAGGTTTGCTTTTTTCTCGCTTCCTTAGCACCAGGTCCCCTACCTCGATTGAACGAACTTTCACCTGTTTATCAAAGTATCTTCTTGTGGCTCTGTGATATTCTTCCATTCGTGCAGCTTCCAGATCCCTTCTTTCTTCTATGAAATGCAATTCGGCCCGTAGGTTGTCCTCATTTTGTTCTGGGCTGTAATGCACCGTTCGGTGTGTGGGAACTAGGATCTCCGTTGGTATTTTGGACTGGAAACCATATGCTAGGGCAAATGGAGTTTCTCCCGTGGCCGTTCGGGTGTGGTCCTGTAAGTCCATAGAATATAATTTAACTGATCAAGCCACGATGAGGTGTATTCTTCCCGCTTTTTCTTCATACCATCCATGATAGTACGGTTCATATTCTCTACCTGGCCATTCGCCTGAGGGTACGCCACGGATGCTCTGGAATGCTTGATTCCCCATTTGACCAGGTAGTTCTCAAAATTCCGGCTCACGAACTGCCTTCCATTATCCGTTATGATCTGCTCAGGGATCCCGAAACGGCAAATGATATTCTTCCAGACAAACTTTTGACACTTAACATCTGTGATGCTGGCCAGTGGCTCGGCCTCTACCCATTTAGTAAAGTAATCTATCCCCACGATGATATACTTGTTGTTTCCAGGGGCTGTAGGTAGAGGACCTAACAGGTCTATCCCCCATCTTGCGAACGGAAGGGCCACCGTCATTGGAGTGTAGAAAGTGGCAGGCCGTCCGGGGACCGGTGCGTACAGTTGGCATACCTTACATTTCCTAGTATGTGCAAAGCAGTCTTGTTGGATAGTCGGCCAATAATACCCTTGTAGGATGATTTTTCTGGCCAGTGTCTTGGGCCCTTGGTGGCTGGAACAGATACCTTCATGAATTTCTTCCATTACAGCCGCCGCTAGATCGGGTGGGAGGCATTTCAGATATGGCCCCCCAAATGTCTTTTTGTACAGCTGCCCGTCCACCAATTCGAACATGGAAGCCCTCCTTTGGATGCATTTTATCTGATAAGCAGGATTTTTATCTTGTGGGAGGGTCCCGTCTTTCAGGTAGTTGGTCATATCTATGACCCAGCTCGAGATGGCATAAGATATGGCCTCGATCTGGAGCACCATGATTGCTGGGGTCGCCAATGTTTCCCGATGGGTAAAACGTTGGATATGAGCCGGGATCTCCTGTGCCCGATCGTCGAACGCTACATTTTCTAACTTGGATAGGATATCTGCTTCAGTATTTTCAATCCTGGATATTTGGTCGAGCACCACCTGTTCAAATTTACTTATCTGCTCCTCAACTATCTCCTTGTAGGCCTTCATTCTCTCTTCTTTGGCCTCAGCAGTGCCGTTTACTTGATGTACTACCAATTGACTATCCAACCGGACTTTTAACCGATCGGCACCCAGAGCCCTTGCATATTTTAAACCAGCAATGAGAGCCTCATATTCAGCCTCATTGTTGGTTACCTTGAAGTCAAAATGGATAGAATAATATGCTTTGAACCCCTCGGGCGATGTGATCACAGCTCCAGCTCCACAACCCTTGGCACTAGCCGCACCATCCACATACATCTCCCACCAGTTATCCAGCCCATTGTTCTCTGAATCTGTTTCTGAGGGCCGGGCGGTACATTCTGCAATGAAATCTGCCAGGGCCTGCCCTTTGATAGTAGGCCGAGGCTTGAAATCCACCTCATATTGCCCAAACAGGAGGCTCCACTTGGTAATGCGTCCACTTGCCATAGGATTTCTCAAGATGGTGGCTAGTGGTTGAGTAGTATACACAGTTACCGGGTGGGTCTGGAAATACGGTGCTAGACGTTTAATGGCAGCTATCAGGGCCAGTACAGTTTTCTCTAGCAAGGTGTACCTGGTTTCCGGGCCGTTCAAAGCCTTGCTTACAAAATAGATTGGCCGTTGAATGCCATCTTCTTCTTTCAACAGTACTGTGCTCACAGCCAGGTCAGCTACAGCAAGGTACATATACAGATGTTCCCCTGGTTCGGGTTTTGTCAAGACCAGGGGGGAAGATAGATACGTTTTGAAATATTCAAAGGCCGTTTGGCATTCGACCGTCCATTCAAAGGGGTTGGCTTTCTTCATGATCTGGAAGAATGGAATAGCTCGATCGGCCAGTTTGGATACGAATCTGCTCAGGGCTGCTAACCGACCGGTCAATTTCTGCACTTCTTTGAGATTTCTTGGAGCCTCCATATCCACAATTGCCTTTACTTTTTCTGGGTTGGGCTCAATCCCCTTCTCGCTCATCATGTATCCCAAAAATTTGCCCCCTCTTACAGCAAAACCACATTTTTTGGGATTCAGCCTCATATTTGCTTTCTGCATTATCCCGAACACCCTTTCTATGTCCAGGACATGGTTTTCCTTCTTCCTGCTTTTGATCAGGATGTCATCAACATAAGCTTCCATTGTGACCCCCAGCACTTCTTTGAACAACATCCCGATCATCCTTTGAAAAGTTGCCATTGCGTTCTTTAATCCGAATGGCATGACGATATAGCAAAACACACCATCCGAAGTAACGAACGCCGTTTTCTCTGCATCAGCCGGGTGCATGAATATCTGATGGTAACCCCGGAAAGCATCCATGAAGCTCAGTAATTCACATCCGGCAGTTTCATCTACTAGCAGATCGATCCTCGGCACTGGATAGGGATCCATGGGGCACGCCTTATTCAGGTCAGAGTAATCCACACACATTCTCCAAGTAGATTGTTTTGGGGCTAGAACCACATTGGATAGCCATTCTACATGGATTACCGGACGGATGTGCTTTATTTTCAGCAAGGTGGCCACCTCCCGCTTTGTGAATTCCCGCCGTTCGGTTGCTTGATACCGTTTCTTCTGCTGGACTGGTTTTGCATCAGGCCGAATGGCAAGTTTGTGGCATATTATCTCCGGATCAATACCGGGCATATCTTCTGGCCCCGGGCAAACAGTACCTGAAACTTTTTTAGGACGGCAATCACGCCATCCCGGATATCAGCCTCCAGATCTACCCCGATAGCCACCTTACGGTTCGGGGGGAATCGAGGTCGATTTGTTCAAGAAGGGTGGCGGGCTCTGGGTGTGCCTCGAACTCCGTTCGGTGGGTTTCCACCTCAATTGTATTAACCC